CACCACGCGAGCCGCGAGCGCACATCCACCACGTCCTGCTCGTCCTAGACCAGGAGGGGCTTTTACTCATCCTAGACACACACTACTATGCACGCACTCACACTCCGTCCCCAATCTCACATACTACTATACTCTCTCTCTCTCTCCCTCCCTCCGGAGCATTACAGATCACAAGTGATTAAGGTCCTCGTTGCCATAGGCCTACCCGATTGTGCCTATCTCATTATACGAATTAGACCATGGATTGGAAAATCACAACCGGCCCTCACAGCCTCAATGGCTACTCCCACAAATAACAACGCCCAGCCTCACTCGCTTGTGGCCAAATTTGCCACTGCAAGGGTTTGGGACCTGATTGTGTCTCAGTCTTATCGACTGAGGAACGTCCGATCCCAGGACCTTTTCGGGATCGGTAGCAGTACCCCCATCTTTTCTCGCCCTCTTTGGCCGGCTCACATCCATGGCCTCTTACTTAAGGCGAGAGAGGCACAGCGACACCTCAATTACTTGCCACCATTAGTCAAGGACTTACGTGTATTTATGCGACCCAACCGCTCAGCCGATCTCATACCCATCTCATCTATATAAGATCTTGTCCATCTACCACCTCGACCTGCCCCACCCAAACAATGACTGAGCCCAGCTAATCACTCTCCCCCATTCATCAACCAACAAACTCCATCACTGTCATCCACGCTAACATAAATCGTCTCAACCATCCACATCACACCCAACTCGAACTCTTAGCTGCCGACAGGTACCCAGATGTTATCGCGGTTACTAAGACCTTCCTTACGCCTGATACGCTGGATGGGGTTGTCAGCATCCGAGGCTACTCCCTGTTTCGGGTTGACAGAGCAGGGAAGGAAGGGGGTGGTGTTGGCGCCTACATTCGTGATTCTTTCAAGACCACAATTCTTGCTAGCTCGGACCCAGAATTCCTTATCCTCGAAATAGCAATTGCATTGCATAAAACACTAGTGGCCATTATCTATCGACGCCCCGCAGCATCACTCCCACACCACTTTTTCGACACCCTCCAGACCATTTACTGGCTTACTCTAACATTATCATCACTGGCGATCTCAACATCAACATGCTCACTTCATCCATCTCATCTCAGTTCCTTTCCACCAAGATATCAGAATACTCCCTCCAATTGGTTCCTTCCAATCCAACACACCATGCCTTCTACCGTAATAACCCCTTGCACACCTGGATCGATATCTTTATAATAAAAGACCCAACCGCACTAATTCGCTATCAACAGTCCACCGCATCCTTCATTGCCGGTCATGACTGGATCGAAATCACCCTTCATTTTCTCCATATACCAAGTAGTCCAATCAATAGGTACAACGTCACCCCAAAATTTTTAACAGCAAACAAAAAATATGATCGTATAGGAAAAAAAATTCTAAGAAAGATAGCGTTTTTGTCTACCTTCTCGCGAATGGCAAACTTAACCTAAAAAATGCGCAAAGTCAAAAAAAATGGTTTTTTTGCAACAAAAAAAACTAAGGCTCGTAGAGAAAAAAATTAAATGAAAAGTTGTAGATATTAAAAAAACACATTGATCCTTTTTAATTTTATATTGATCCATCCATTACTTTTCGAGATATATCGAAAAAACCGTTCAAAATCGAACATTCTCATTTTTTCTGTACCTTTGACAAATTAACGTTTAGGAAATTGTTTCTCACTGAAAATGTAGCCCTTGGCGAGCTAAAAAAGATGCATTTTTAAAAATTAAGAAAAATCGGTGATTTTTCGAGATATATCGATTTTTCAAAAAAAAGATCGTCTCAAAAATCGGTTCCTCTTGCCCGAGGGCTTATCCTACAGAAACGAATCGGGGCTCATTTTTTTCATTANGTTTGACCTGGAAATGAACTATAAGGGCCCATTATCCGTTTTTAAAATAACGTGATTTCCAACTAAATATTGATAGAATTTCGTAAACCCAAAGACTATTGCTCCGGCTTCTTTATCTAGGCTTCTTTGATTGCTGGCATTATTACGCGTATTTAAAAACAAAAAAAATATTGCTCTACGACCTTCTGAAGCCGAGATAATTTTTTTTTTTTCAAACAATTCCGGAGGGCGCTAGTTACGTGCTACAGCGTCCATTCTTACGGAAAATAAAGTTAAATGCTTATATTTTCAATAAAAAAATAGATGAACTCATTTCATAGGCTTTCAACATATTTTAACAAATTCCAAAATGCAGCGTGCGAGCGCGCCGCGAGCGGGCCGTGGAGTGGGAATACCGGGCTCAGCCGCTTCGGAAACTGAATTCGCGCGTTCAAAATCGTTCGTGCTCTCAAAATTTTTGATAACTTGACTTCTCAATGACGTACAAAAATCCTTTTGTGCTTAATCTGGAGTAGCTCGACGAGATAAATCTGAATATGACAATCGGATTTGTTTATTTAATAAATTAGACCCCGAAATATTTTTAAAAACATCTTTTTTTTTTTTTTTGACATTTTTAAGATATTGTTAGGTTGTTTATAATAAAAAAACAATTTCAATCAAATAAAATTTATTATCGTCCGATTATAAAAATGATTACAATTTTTTCATACAATAATAATAATACATGAACATAAAATTAAAAAATGCAGGAAATTTTTATTACAATTATTCTTCGACTTTTTTTTTTCGTTTCAATGCTTTCTTCGGATTCGTTGTCTACTATGACGCTTTCTACCTCTTCCTGCATGCTCATACTTTTATCATTATTTCCCTCGTCATTTTCTTTACGAATTACTTCCAAAATATTTTCGGGATCGTCATCAATTTGAACTACAGGAGTTTCGAAGTTATCGCATTGGGTTGCATCACAACTTACATAAACGGACGTACATTTAAGAAAGTTTTTTTTACATCTACAGGCTTTAGTTTTGCAACCACTAGTGCAACTACACGATATTTTTTTTAATATCGCCTCTGGTAATAAAGGTGCCTCAGTGTAAACAGGGATTAATATATTGCAGCCGTCTTCCACCTCCATTGAGTTACGATGTTGTCATTACCTATCCATTTTTGTAATTGTAAGTAAACTCGGAAAGTGTGTTGTTGTGCGGCTCATTCTAATTTAAATGATACTCGAGCAGTGGATCGTTTAAAACATACAAAACGGTGTTCGTTCAGAGTACCTTCTGTTTTATTGCAATACAGTAAAGAAATTATTTGGCACATATTATTAACAATTTCTTCTCGAGAAGCATCTTTTTGATGAAAAATGTCTATTAAATTGAGGTGCTTTTTATGAGAATTGAATATTTTTATTATTTCATTTTTTCCTTGTTTATAGAAGGAAGATACTGTATCACAACTCGATGCGGCATGGAAAAACGCTACGTATTTTTGCAATTCTGGATACTTAAAGCTGCTGTTAGTATACCATCGATCTGTGTCTCGCCCTCTTCTTTTGAAAAAAAAAAAAATCTGTCTTGTAACTGAACTTAATTGCGTTAAAAGTACAAGTAAATCAATATCTTCTCCAACTACTATCACTGCCCTAGTTACTGAAGTCAGTTTTATTGTAGTTTGAACAATAACTGAATCTGCAGCTTTTGGTTCAAATCTTTCCAAAACGATTAGTCTAGACTTTCGAATTTATAGTTTAAGCAAATAAAACAATAAAGCGTTTAAATACATATTACAGTACAACTGTAATTTATGATTATATAAACAAATATTGTTGAACTAAAATGCCATGAGTTCATGTAATAAAGGAAACGTTGAATTTCAAGTACGATTTAATGAGGGTGATGTTGCTTTCTATTATAAACAACCTAACAATATCTTAAAATGTCAACAAAAAAAAAATGTTTTTTAAAAATATTTCGGGGTCTAATTTATTAAATAAACTAATTCGATTGTCATATTCAGATTTATCTCGTCGATCTACCCCAGATTAAGTACAAAAGGATTTTTGTACGTCATTTAGAAGTCGAGTTATCAAAAATTTTGAGAGCGCGAACGATTTTAAACGCGCGAATTCAGTTTCCGAAGCGGCCGAGCCCGGTATCCCCACTCCACGGCCCGCTCGCGGCGCGCCCGCACGCTGCATTTTGGAATTTGTTAAAATATGTTAAAAGCCAATGAAATTAATTCATCTATTTTTTTATTGAAAATATAAGTATTCAACTTTATTTTCCGTAAGAATGGACGCTGTAGCACGTAACTAGCGCCCTCTGAAATTTTTTGAAAAAAAAAAATTATCTCGGCTCCAGAAAGTCGTAGAGCAATATTTTTTTAACTCCTTATATACGATGTACCATTAAAAGTTTATTTGTAATCAAATAGTAAATAGTAAAACAAAAAACTTTTAAACAAAGTCGTAGTGAGAAAACTACATTGTACACAAGCATTTTTTGTTTGTAACAGAGCTGATATTAAGAGAAGTTTATAAGATGAACTCAAAAAATTTTTTGCTAATGAAAGATACAATTAATTTTGTAAGTAACATTATCTGTACAAAAACATTTTATAATTCAAAGAGAATTGATCTATAACTTTATCGAAAGATAGCTTATTTATATTTTAAACATTTTTTTAGTTGTTAGGTACTCATTATAAAAGTTGCAAAAAATTGAAAATAAATTACTTGGAACAATTTAATAACCAAAAAAATTTTAAACCATTGCAATATTTTAGGATTTTGTGTATACCTCTTTTAATTCCAATTCCTTGACATATGTATGATACGACCTTGCTGTATTTTGTAAATAAATGTGTTTTCGACTGATTGTCATACTAATGTTGTATTCAAAATAATAATCACAATAATACGTTTTTTAGGCTCATGATTACAAATTCAAAAAGTGTCTTGAAAAGTTACTTAGGAATAGTTACGTAAAAAGTATATTACAACAACAAATGTTTGCATTCAAAAAGTCAATATTTAAAAGAATAAAACATTTAATATACGTACTACAAATTCATTATGACTTAACTATTGAAAAAGCATGAGTAAAATATTTACTTACATTTAGTGAAATTAGCTGTGCTAGGTCACTATCCGACAATCTACTGTTCGTAATATGTTTGCTGTTTTCTGGAGATGGAATTTTCATTTCTGTAAAATCAGAAGCCGCAAGTTCTTTGACTCTATCTGCGTACCTTAATGTGTTTAAAGAGTGTTCACAAGAACTCATTCCAGGACTTATCATAGCAATCTGCAAGACCGTACAAAAAAATTATGTAAAGAAAAAGTTTTCTGTTAGTTTGGTGTTTATGCAAACTTTTATGATGCACCACATTGACATTTAAAGAATTATACACTCCTATTGATTATATTATAATGATTATGATCAATGTTCCTATAACTGACTAGTATTAGCTCAAAAAACCTCAGTGCCTTTAAACTTTAAAATCAGCTGCCATCCATTAGTTGGAGGCTCACGTATCATCGATTTTATTTATGTATCATGTTTAAATAATAAAAGGCTTTTTCGCATGTGTAATTGCCAAAAAACAACTCACGTTACTTGCTTAAGAAATTCATATGACTAAATGATTGTATTAAACAGTACCAATTTTTTAAATAAGGCAGGTTTTTTGGATCAAAATCAAGTGAAGTAAAGTAACACGTATCCTAACACTTCTGTTTGCTTTTTTTTTTTAAAAAGAAAATACGTAAAAACCTTATAAAATTTTAGTTGCTGTAGAGCCGAGAGTAACACATATCGTGACACATGTATGTTTGCTTGTTTTTTGAAAGAAACTAAAACGTAAAATTCGTATTCAATTTCAGTTGCTGTAGAGTTGAATGACATGTTTATAATCTGGGGTTATCAGATTATTGGATTATTACGAGCAGATGTACATAATTGTAAATTTGTTTTAGCTAACCACAAAAACAATATATTTTAGAATGATACCCTTTTGATCGAAATGATAAACAGTTATTTTAAATGGAAGAAAAGGACACAAGCAAAAAAGCTTCAACGGTACCAGAAGGTTGAAATTGAGCTCCCCTAAATTTTTATTTGGAATAAACTATTTCGAAGTACATAACTAAAAACTATTTGAGTCAAATGTTTAGCTTCTTAGGTGATAAAAGGCATCTCTTGATCTTAAAAACGTAATGTTTTATTGCCTGGCCCTTCGTATAAAAAATCTGAAAAAATTTATTAACGTGTAATTTTTAGATTTAGAAGACCTTGATTGTTATTTGTTGGGAAAACTTTTTAATAACAATTTATTGCGTATGTTTTTCCGTATTTTCGAATGGTGTTATTAGAATTAGTGGTTTTGAGCTGGAATATACTCACAACTAAAAAAAAAAATCTTTTAGAGCTATCCATGGTTTTTCTGTCATATAATTACGAAAAAATCGCTTATCAAGTATTTCTAAGTATGTCTATTTTTTCGTTACATTTTCCAATTTAATTGTTTAAGCTATTATCTTTCACACGGAAAATATTTTACAATTAAAATGAACAAATTTTTTCATACTTTTATCATATTTTGGGAACATAATTTTAAAAAAGATCACTAAATACTTCTAAAGACATTCAATCATATTATTTACATTTTGGAATAAAAAAGATTTCAAGAATTCAGTATTATTTCTTTAGTAGCTGCAAAAGGCCTGATACCACCTTCTTAAATTGCAGGGCCACTACATGTTATGAAGTTATTCATGAACAATAAAAATATATTTATAAATGTGCATTATTACAAAATATAACATGTCAATATATAGATAGTCAAGAGCTGAAAAAAAGTACATACTTTTCTGTACTTTAACTTTAAATCTACTTAAACTGTGAATCGTAATAGTAAAAATGTGCTTTTAAACAACAACAGGTGAAAATAGTTTATGTAAGATAATTAACCGTAATTATTTAACATTATTATCCAGTAAAAACTGGACAATTGTGGACTTTGGTCTCACGCTTCCTGACGGGCCACGTGACCAGCAGTATGTGTAACGATTCAGTTGTTTACTTTCCTTAGTAAAATGTGTTTTTTGATACATATTTATTAAAACAATAAAAGATCAAATACCTTGTTTCATTCTCCTTGGTTACAAAATGTAAGTGAAGATATTTCTTTTTTCCTGTAGTATACTTCGTTGGTGTCAATCCATCATCCGGTGGATTTTCTCTATTTATAGCCTTTTCAGGCGAATTAGTTTAATAATTTTATTAACTTTTACTTTATTCGACTTGTTTTTAGATGATTCATTTACTGTTTGGTTTGGATACAAATTAACCGTACAGAGTGATAAAGAAAATAAAAGAACAGTGAGTCACTCTTTAACAGAAATTTTAAGCAAGCTACTTGTATAATTCAGTACTGCACTCGATGAACGGCAGCGGGCGCGAAGAAATCCACCTTGCGCGAAGCTTCAGTTAAAACTTCTTCGTCTTACATGCTATGAGGCCGGTAGTTAGTGACTTAATGTGTTTAGGCTTAGTGGCTCGCTTCAGTTGTCACTTGAAACTTTCGAGAGCCATGAAGTACACAGTCAGCTTTGTTAGGTACCGACTTTTGTTAAATATGACTCTTTTACAAGTTTTTAAATTTTATCGTTGAGGGAATGAATATAATATAAAATAGAATAGAAAATAAAAAATTTGTTCACTTAGACAAGCTGTCACTTAACAGTTATAATTGTAGAATTAATAATTAAGTATATTATGCTAAAATAGAAGTATGTAGATTATGGTCTTTTTATTGATCATTTTTCCTGATTCAAAAGTCTACGTGCCATTCCACATGAAATTTTCCCGAGGAACTCTCGTCAGATTTTTACATTTTATGTAGTCCTTTATGATTATTTTTTCTAAAATGACACATAAACTAAATTGTTGAATAACAGTTTATGAGGATAAAATTACAGGATAATAATTTGTTTTACTAAATTCAATTAATCTAATTATGAGATAACACATGGAAAGAAGATCCTGGGTCGGTTCCTAATTATACTAGGGTGCCACAGACAATGTTCAAGTGCTCAGCTTCTGGAGTTCCAGTCTTAAAATTATAATTATATAGAAACGATTTTCCTCCTTCATCAAGCGTCGTGCACGTATATCAAAACGGTATGAGCGGCTCACTTATATAGATTAGAGTCCATACTCTAGAAACTGGGCACGTGAACATCGTTTCCATCACCCTTGAACAACTGGGTACCTGCCTAAGTTATTTTTCCATGTGTAATTTTACGTATAAAATTCAGCAGAATTATGCCCAACTTCAATTTTCCCTTAAAAACTCCATGTAAAAATTAAGCGTGTGTAAAATAGAAGGAATGTACACGAGAAACTCTACGTAAAACATGAACTCTTGACAGGACTTTCTCGTAGAAATTCCATGCAAAATTTCACTAGGACTTTTTGAACAGGAAAAACAACTAACAAAAAGAATATTGTCTATATGTAGCTATTTAGTTAAAACTGTTATAATCTTTTGTCACTTAAGAGCACGTTTTTATGTTAATAATTTACGGTGTATACAGATTAGTAGTTAAAATGCTATGAACTGCTTGATATTCAAGAATAATTATTTAATAAGCAGTCTCCCTAAGCTTAAAGAAGGCTGTATCAGCCTCTTTTCAGCTATAAAAGAAGTAATACTTAATTTTTTAAATCCTTTTTTTTTTAATTTATACAATACTTTTTAATGTCTCAAGACCTATTTAAAGTTCTTCTTTAAGATGATGCATCTTATACATAGCATAATAAGCTCTATTTGAATGGTGGAAGTTAAACATTTTCAGAAAAACAAATTCAATTATACATAAATATGTATGCCATTAGTTTTGCCGTTCGAAGAGAAAAAAAAAAAAGGAAAAATTAAAAAAGTGCTCGAAAACTCAATTTTTTTAAATTTAAAGTATGTTCCAGCTCAATAAAACCATTTCTTCTGACACTACTATAAAAAATGAAGAAAAATACACAACAAATCATTAATCAGAAGTTGGTCATAAATTATCTACGTAACCAAAAAAATTAGTAAAAACTTTGAACGATTTTGCTACGCTTAATTTTAATTTTGAAGAACTCTGAAAAAAAAAAAATTCTTTTATACTGAAAACCAAACGTTTATACATTTTTCAGATTTTTTTATATTGTTACGTACGATATGCAGGGCACGTCATGCCGACTCCCCCTGGTAATAGCGAGGCTACTTTAGCAAGAGGGTACACGGAAAGACCTTTTTCACTGAAAATCCCCTATTACATTCAGTTACGAGTTTTTAATAGCTTGGTAAGGTTTTTTCCCGTACCAGGTCCGTCTAAATCCTACACGGAAAGACCGAGTTCATTGAAAATCCTCTACTATACTTAGTTATGAGTTTTTCATAGCTTGGTACGGTTTTTTCCCGTACCACGTCTGTCTAAAACCTACGCTTAAGTATGTTATGTAAAACGTAAACACCTACTGGATACATCTATTTTTCATAGCTACAGTTGGTAAGGGAAAAAACCGTACCACCGTCACTAAATACTTGTACTGATATCATAAAACCTATATACTTGGCACGAAATTTAAGACCACTTAAGGTGACACTAAAAATTCTTGTGTTAGTAAGCAACAAATATAACGTTGGTGTAGTATTTCTTACGATCAAATATTGTAGTAGGATATTTTCAATGATCTCGGTCTTTCCGTGTACCGACAGGAGGAGAACAAGGTAACATAAGGCCCAGCGAGCCTTAAATCGCGGCACTCAAGCGTTATCAAATCGAGATATCGGGCGATAATTACGGGAGGATACAACGAGCCTGAACACACGCACGACTTTACCTTATAAATATGGTATTTTTAATAAAGGTCTTTAAGGTACTAAGTATTAGTCATTTTTACGACACACCTCCTTACCAAGTAACAGATATGTTGTTAAGTATGGGGTTGAGTAAGAGTCAGAATTTTTTATACTTTACTTTACTCGTTTTGAAAATTTTCGAAAAGCATACATAGTGCAGTACCGCAGAAATACGATTAAAAATCAGAAGACCAAGGATCCGATCAAAGACGACAGTTACGGTCATATTCTACGAGCAGCGGTAACAACAGCCCAGAAGCTAACAGGACTAGCATACCAATAGCAGATCATCACAGTATCAAGGAAACAAACGGGAGCGCTGAATGGAAATGGTCTCCAAAGTTGTATTCCTACTGGTGAGCATATTAACTAGCACGTAAGTACATACGTAATAAAA